CGCAATGAATAAGTTGACTGAATTATTCTTTTTATAATAATAATAATAATTCTTTCTTCAATTGCGTATAGAATCTAAAAAAGCACGCACAATCTCAGCAACACTGGATAAATTAAGTGTCTGCATTTCCAAATGAACAAATTACAATTCTATATATCAAATGTTGTGGTAACATTGAAGTTGACATCTAGAAAAATGGAATATGGTATCAATTATTTGTTCGAGTATTCAGTTAGGAATAGTCGTGGTAAAGTGAATAACCATTATCTAAATTATTTCATCAGCTCCGTGTGCACCATCACGTTAGTCGTCATCTGTTTTAGCTAATTTGAATGCTGACGTATTTGTCACTTTATTCATTTCAGATTCACAACCAGCACTAGAGAATGTAGCAATCGGTAAGACAGCAACACAACATACATTCCCATCATTGTTTTCCAATGCATAGTTCTTTTATTGATACTAACAGAAAATGTAGCAAATGGTTGGGATAGAACAGTAATCACTGAACATATCGTATGATACCAGAAACGTCAGATTAGTTTACATATAACTCAATATCCAAGCATATCACTTGCTTGTGAAGATGCAATGAATGAATATGTTGACTGAATTATTCTTTTTATAATAATATATCTTTCCCCAATTGCGTATACAATCTAAAAAGACAAGCACAATCTCAGCAACACTGGATAAATTAAGTGTCTGCATTTCCAAATCAACCAATTACAAATATATTAATCAAATATAGAGGTAACATCAAAATTGACATCTAGAAAGATGGAACATGGTATCAATTATTTGTTCGAGTATTCAGTTAGGAATGATTGTGTAAAAGTGATTATTCATTACCGAAAATATTTCATCAGCTTCGTGTGCACCATCACGTTAGTCTCCATCTGTTTTATAATAATTTGAATGCAGACGTAATTGTTACTTTATTCATTTCAGAGTCACAACCAGCACTAGAGAATGTAGCGATCGGTAAGACAGCAACGCAAAGTAGCGATTGGTCGGCTTCTTACCCGGCAAGCAATGCTGTGGATGGTAATACAAACACAAATTGGAATAGTGGCAGCTGTACCAGCACCAAAGACAACCAAAATGCCTGGTGGAAAGTAGATCTTGGTGGGAATTACCTTGTTCATGAAGTAATTGTTACTAATCGTCTAGATTGTTGTGGTGAGTTCCTTCTAGGTACACTCTCGATCACTCTAGTTAAAATGGTTTTATAGAGCGTTGCTTTGGTGTCTTTGCATCAAATTGGTACAGTGTGTCCTTTTATTAGTTGTAATTACCAGGTATCTGTATATGTTATATAATCTTTGAAAGTATGCAATAAAATGCTTTCATAATAACTATAGTATAGCTGGTTTTACCATATATTGTGTTTTTTATATGTAGTATGTAGTTTTATAAAGCGATTACATAAATTCATCATTGCATTTCAGAAACCCGTATTTTGAATGCTGAAATTCGAGTTGGTTTGTCAGATGATATATCACAAAATAGTCAATGTGGTGAAAAGATAACTTCAAGTCAAACCAGTCAGGCAAACATTCATATCCAATGTAGCAGTCCAATCGTTGGGCGTTATGTCAGTATGCACCTGGTAGATAGATCTGACCTTCTCAACTTTTGTGAAATGCAGGTCATGGCTGAAGGTAAGGAACAATCATTGTACATTACCCCTAAAACGACCAAGACGAACTCACCTGACCATGGAATAGTTTTGCTCAGCGACCTACAGCATCATACAGTCCCCATCAATGTTTTCCAATGCGTAATTTATTTATTGATTCTAACAGAAATTGTAGCAAATGGTTGAGAAAGACCAGTAATCACTGAACATATCGTATGATACCATAAACTTCAGATTAGTTTATATATAACTCAATATCAAAGCGTAACATTTATTTGTGCAGACACAATGATTATGTTGACTGAATTAATCGTTTTATAATAATAATTATTTCTCCAATTGCGTATAAAATCAAAGAAGGCAGGCACAATCTCAGCAACACTGAATAAATTAAGTGTCTGCATTTCCAAATCAACAAATTACAAATCTCTATATCAAATTTTGAGGTAATATGAAGGTTGACATCTAGAAAAATGAAACATGGTATCAATTATTTGTTCGAGTATCCAGTTAGGAATGATTGTGTAAAAGTGATTATTCATTACCGAAAATATTTCATCAGCTTCGTGTGCACCATCACGTTAGTCTCCATCTGTTTTATAATAATTTGAATGCTGACGTAAATGTTACTTTATTCATTTCAGAGTCACAACCAGCACTAGAGAATGTAGCGATCGGTAAGACAGCAACGCAAAGTAGCGATTGGTCGGCTTCTTACCCGGCAACCAATGCTGTGGATGGTAATACAAAGACAAATTGGAATAGTGGCAGCTGTACCAGCACCAAAGACAACCAAAATGCCTGGTGGAAAGTGGATCTTGGTGGGAATTACCTTGTTCATGAAGTAATTGTTACTAATCGACTAGATTGCTGTGGTGAGTTGTTTCTTGGTACACCCTCGATCACGCTAGTTACAATGGTATTATAGAGGTTGCTTTGGTGTCTTTGCATGAAATTGGTACAGTGTGTCATTTTATTTGTAGCAATCACCAGTTATCTGTATATGTTATATACTCTTTGAAAATATGCAATAAATGCTTTCACTATAACTTTAATATGGCTGGTTTAGCCATATATTGAGGTTTTTCTATATGTAGCATGTAGTTTTATGAAGCGGGTTACACAAGGTTCATCATTGCATTTCAGAAACCCGTATTTTGAATGCTGAAATTCGAGTTGGTTTGTCAGATGATATATCACAAAATAGTCAATGTGGTGAAAAGATAACTTCAAGTCAAACCAGTCAGGCAAACATTCATATCCAATGTAGCAGTCCAATCGTTGGGCGTTATGTCAGTATGCAGCTGGTAGATAGATCTGACCTTCTCAACTTTTGTGAAATGCAGGTCATGGCTGAAGGTAAGGAACAATCATTGTACATTACCCCTAAAACGACCAAGACGAACTCACCTGACCATGGAATAGTTTTGCTCAGCGACCTACAGCATCATACAGTCCCCATCAATGTTTTCCAATGCGTAATTTATTTATTGATTCTAACAGAAATTGTAGCAAATGGTTGAGAAAGACCAGTAATCACTGAACATATCGTATGATACCATAAACTTCAGATTAGTTTATATATAACTCAATATCAAAGCGTAACATTTATTTGTGCAGACACAATGATTATGTTGACTGAATTAATCGTTTTATAATAATAATTATTTCTCCAATTGCGTATAAAATCTAAGAAGGCAGGCACAATCTCAGCAACACTGAATAAATTAAGTGTCTGCATTTCCAAATCAACAAATTACAAATCTCTATATCAAATTTTGAGGTAATATGAAGGTTGACATCTAGAAAAATGAAACATGGTATCAATTATTTGTTCGAGTATCCAGTTAGGAATGATTGTGTAAAAGTGATTATTCATTACCGAAAATATTTCATCAGCTTCGTGTGCACCATCACGTTAGTCTCCATCTGTTTTATAATAATTTGAATGCTGACGTAAATGTTACTTTATTCATTTCAGAGTCACAACCAGCACTAGAGAATGTAGCGATCGGTAAGACAGCAACGCAAAGTAGCGATTGGTCGGCTTCTTACCCGGCAAGCAATGCTGTGGATGGTAATACAAACACAAATTGGAATAGTGGCAGCTGTACCAGCACCAAAGACAACCAAAATGCCTGGTGGAAAGTGGATCTTGGTGGGAATTACCTTGTTCATGAAGTAATTGTTACTAATCGACTAGATTGCTGTGGTGAGTTGTTTCTTGGTACACCCTCGATCACGCTAGTTACAATGGTATTATAGAGGTTGCTTTGGTGTCTTTGCATGAAATTGGTACAGTGTGTCATTTTATTTGTAGCAATCACCAGTTATCTGTATATGTTATATACTCTTTGAAAATATGCAATAAAATGCTTTCACTATAACTTTAATATGGCTGGTTTAGCCATATATTGAGGTTTTTCTATATGTAGCATGTAGTTTTATGAAGCGGGTTACACAAGGTTCATCATTGCATTTCAGAAATCCGTATTTTGAATGCTGAAATTCGAGTTGGTTTGTCAGATGATATATCAGAAAATAGTCAATGTGGTGAAAAAATAACTTCAAGTCAAACCAGTCAGGCAAACATTCATATCCAATGTAGCAGTCCAATCGTCGGGCGTTACGTCAGTATGCAGCTGGTAGATAGATCTGACCTTCTCAACTTTTGTGAAATGCAGGTCATGGCTGAAGGTAAGAAACAATCATTGTACATTACTCCTAAAACGACCAAGACGAACTCACATGACCATGGAATAGTTTTGCTCAGCGACCTGCAGCAACATTCATTCCCCATCATTGTTTTCCAATGCGTAATTCATTTATTGATTCTAACAGAAATTGTAGCAAATGGTTGAGAAAGACCAGTAATCACTGAACATATCGTATGATACCATAAACTTCAGATTAGTTTATATATAACTCAATATCAAAGCGTAACATTTATTTGTGCAGACACAATGATTATGTTGACTGAATTAATCGTTTTATAATAATAATTATTTCTCCAATTGCGTATAAAATCTAAGAAGGCAGGCACAATCTCAGCAACACTGAATAAATTAAGTGTCTGCATTTCCAAATCAACAAATTACAAATCTCTATATCAAATGTTGAGGTAATATGAAGGTTGACATCTAGAAAAATGAAACATGGTATAAATTATTTGTTCGAGTATTCAGTTAGGAATGATTGTGTAAAAGTGATTATTTATTACCGAAAATATTTCATCAGCTTCGTGTGCACCATCACGTTAGTCTCCATCTGTTTTATAATAATTTGAATGCTGACGTAAATGTTACTTTATTCATTTCAGAGTCACAACCAGCACTAGAGAATGTAGCGATCGGTAAGACAGCAACGCAAAGTAGCGATTGGTCGGCTTCTTACCCGGCAAGCAATGCTGTGGATGGTAATACAAACACAAATTGGAATAGTGGCAGCTGTACCAGCACCAAAGACAACCAAAATGCCTGGTGGAAAGTGGATCTTGGTGGGAATTACCTTGTTCATGAAGTAATTGTTACTAATCGACTAGATTGCTGTGGTGAGTTGTTTCTTGGTACACCCTCGATCACGCTAGTTACAATGGTATTATAGAGGTTGCTTTGGTGTCTTTGCATGAAATTGGTACAGTGTGTCATTTTATTTGTAGCAATCACCAGTTATCTGTATATGTTATAAACTCTTTGAAAATATGCAATAAAATGCTTTCATAATAACTTTAGTATAGCTAGTTTTACCATATATTGTGGTTTTCTTATATGTAGCATGTAGTTTTATGAAGAGGATAACATATGCTTCATCATTGCATTTCAGAAACCCGTATTTTGAATGCTGAATTCGAGTCGGTTTGTCAGATGA